ACCCAGACGAGAGTTTGGAATCCAAAGAAATAAAGAACGTGCAGTTAAAATCTCTCCTTCATATTTTGAGAGATTATGCCAAAACTTGTTTGGGAGAGTTTGTCTTATTTGGGTACGATCCACTTAAAGAATAATTAAGCAAATCGTCTAAATAAATAAACTATGAAATTAAAACAACCTTTGATGTTGCATATCAGCATACGCTTGTATACTGCTATACAACTTCTCCTACTTCGAGTACATACTTCTATATAAAAGATTGCATGATTGGCCTAAATACGATATACGAATGACAGCTGGATACAGAATGCTATACCACTGAGTTACGATATCACCGATCGAGAAGAGAAACTTCTCAGATCAATCAAGAATTATAAGAAAGAGAAACTTAATATTAATAGTTCTCTCAATGGATTAGCTACCCAGAGAGAGAATAGAACAGCTCTTAATATAAATGGTTCATTTACTTATATATTGATATAATTATACTGCTGATAAAGAGTATAAAGAAATAGTGTATGAATTAATGGATACCTAGCTTCTACAACCAAATATACAAATATCGATAAGACATTTTATATTTGGGATCGTAATTTATTCATTACAAAGATAATGAATAAATGATCAACTATTATGTTCTATTGCCAATTACACTTGACAAACAAGTATGAATCTTTTACAGTAACCGTTGCATGATCTGATAAATAAGTGTCTCCTAATACTAAAGATTTATTAGCATACTCATGCTCCCGATCCACTGATATGGGACAACGTTATCTGGAAACAATTCTAACGAGTAGTATCCATTTAATCCAAGGCGGGAAACAAAGTATAGATCTATTCCAAAACCAGAAAGGTTGACTCATCATTAAAACTCAGGAGAGTTGTGCAATATAAAAAGGATCAATTATTTCATAGCAGCAGAGTTCTTTTAGTCTATTTTTACCCCTAATAAAAATATACTTTTATCTCATTACTTTTCTATGTAATATTTTGTCAAATACCACAGAGTTAAAAATCGAGACATCTCAGAATGCTGTGTTGATGAATTGCACCTGGGGCAAGCTTTCCCGTGATATCAAGATGAAATACATCATCATGTTGGAACGATTAGCCAAGAAAAGTAAAATAGACTTGGATAGATGTCAGAACTACTGGGGAGCAGAAAGGTTGTTGGCAAGTGTAGCCCACAACAGACTGGGAAAAAGGGTAATACAATGACTAAACAATCACACTTATTTATTATTATGTTTCTAATGCGTTTTCTGTAGAACGTGTCAACCTGGGAAGCAGGATCTTTGTCGGATGACGAAGAGACTATTCCCTCTATTGCTGAACTAGAGGAAGAACGGAATAGTCCTCTGCACGGCAATGAGAATACTGGTGTAGAAGAGCTTGAACAGACTTTAGAAGACGACCGTATCCACCGCCCTAGAAGAAAAATAGCCAGAAGATAACTACTAAAAATTTCAAAGAATTCGCACTTTGAATAATTTAATGGATTAATAAACTTACTTTTTTTTTTTTCTCTCTTTCTCTTTCTCTTACTCTTTCTCTTTCTTTTCTTTCTCTTCGTAAATTCTTATCTACACAACCCAAGTTTTGTAATCTATGATATGATTACAATCTCGCAGGTTGTAGAAAAGACTAAACAAAAAGAAAAGGTAATATAGCATATATAAATACTCATCCTATTCCTGGCTTATAAGTTCCATAGAAAGTTCGTATATTCGCTTTGTGACATATGGTGAAGGTACTAGATAACGTTACATTTTCATTACGTTTTTTAACTGTGTTCCATAGATTCAGAGCTTTTTCTGTGCTGATATTAAAGGCTTCAAGATGTAGACAAGCTTCTTCCAGGCTGATGAAATATTTTTTAGGCCATACAAAAATTTTTTAGCCTGCATTTTTTTTATTTTAGTCTGTATTTTCTAATTTTAGGGCAATTGTTTTTTATTTTAGGCTACATTTTTTTTATTTTAGGCTGTATTTCTCAGGGAAGTCCAACTTTTTCTTAGTCTTATATGCTGTTATACCTTATGATTCCCTTGGCTCTTTATGAGGTTTATTGAAAGACTTTTTTGCCGTTATATCTTGTTGATAGTAAGTTAATTAATATTTCCATTTAATTTTTTTCTGGTAATAATATGGATGCACGTTCAGTAGCTTCGAAGTGAAAATACAAAATAAATACCAATAAAAACGTTTTCCATACCCCCAATTTTTCACAGTTTTTGTGTATTTATACGTAAATTTTTTTTTCGATTATGTAATGCTTTAAAGTAATAACAGTGCAACAGAATGATTAAAAAGACATTTTAAAGTGGTAAAAATATGCAACGGAATGAACAAAAAGACATTTTAAAGTGGTAAAAACAAACAACGGACGGAACAATATACCAATATAAAGTGGTAAAAACATGCAACAGACGGAACAATACATCAGTTTAAAGTGGTAAAAACATGCAACAGACGGAACAATACATCAGTTTAAAGTGGTAAAAAGATACAACTGCTGGAGTGTTTGAACCATTTAAAGTGGTATAATGATACCACTGGTGGATAAAACGCACCACCTCTGGTGGTATAAATTTGTTTTTTTTACCACCAGAGGTAGTGAAATCGTACCACCTGTACCACATCTGGGATAAAAAATCAAGGGTTTTTACCACCGCAGGTGGTCTAAGTTGGTACTTTTTTACCACCTTTTACCACCGAGTGCGCGGCTGTGTAATAAAGGATTATCTTATATTTGATTGAAATTATTGTCTCTTAGACATCGGATATTACACCGATCTTCGCTGTTCACGTCCAATAATTCCTGAACCTCGTCTCTCCACGGTAGAAATAACATTAAAAGGGCCCTGAAATAATCAGAGCGTTCTTTTTCGATATTAAATTTATAGTGTCTAATAACGTTTGACTTCGGTCTACGTTGAATGTAACCAGAGTTGTTTTTTAATTCAAAGACCTCGCCGGGAGATCCACCATAAGTAAATGAGTCACTAAGACCCGTGGCTGCTTGAGCTATTTCTTCGGCTTCCGCCTCGTCTTCGTCCTCATTTTCTTCATCGTCATCCCGTTTAGTGTTTCTTTTTTTTCTTGGATGCCTTTTACTAATTTCGTAATAGGAAGCAAATTGAGCAAACATGATATTGTCCAAGGAATCAGGCCGATTAACATAGTGTTTGTAGCAAAAGTAGGCTTATAGAGGATAGTTTTGCAGAAAAAAAGGTAGAAAAAAACAATAGGATCAATTAGAATTCTTGTCAGAGTTTATTGATGTTAAAGTTAACTAAAGATTTAAGAAGAGGAAAAATAAAGAGTATTTATAATAAATGGAATGGACGAGGCTGAGGATACTACTCTTAACAATATGAGTATGCTATATTGGACAATTAGTGCTACGCATAGTCAATAGAGAAATAATAACAATAACATGTCTTAACTTTGGACATTGGTGTTACGATACCGTGACACTTTAAAATAGTGACCGGCTTTAGCGAATTCCTTTTTTATGCCTGACCATGATTTAGCTATCATTTATCAGTGATGATGAGATATGAATTTATTATATGTACAATCTATATGTGTGATTTAGCGCATTTCCCTCTACTAGATTCAACGATAGTTGAATCGGTTAAATTTCCTAGCTAACTTTATGTGATCGACATTACGTGTATTAATTTCTACAACATAAGAAGTTTTATCACCGCTAACCCAGACACGAACAAATTGAGGCTTATTGAAATAATTTTTTTTTTTTTTTTTTTTTTTTACTTTTACTTTCATTCTTACTTCATGCCTTATTTGTTCTTATTAAGCCGACTACTACTACGTCTCTTCTGTACAGGTTGACCATTACTATATGTGTTATTCGCTCTCTTTCTTTTGTTATAATTAGTAGCATTGTCACCAACATTACGCTGTGAAACAAGCCTTTGTGTTTTGGAATTTGAGTCTGATTTATTCACCAGCTCTGCTTTACGTATTTTTTCAAGTTTCTCTAGATCTCTTACTTTATCCCAATAAGCTTTGATAGACTGTGATGACGAAAATGCTGATGTCTTTAACCATGAATTTTCACGTTCACCATACCCAACCCATTTTACCAGATATTCACGTTCGCCATTCGGATCTTGTCTGTGGTCTCGAATTTCTTGGACTTCGTATAATTCATCTTCAATATTTGTTTCGTCGATGGATACTACCTTGAGCTCAGATGGTACATAGTCTCTGTGTAGTAGCTCGTTCATTTCATCCTTAAGTACATACGTTCCCGCTTGCGTCTTTCGTACTACAGTAAATGGTCCCTCATATAGTGGAGAAAGTTTGGATGCTCGATTTGGCAATTTCACCATTACTGCAGTTCCTACGGCAATGTCTATCAGGTAGTGTTTTGTATTGAACTTTTTACTTTGTTCCTCAACTAATCTCATCGTTCTTTCGTGGATAGCAGGAAACACAACTGTTGCCATGATTTCGGCTTTGTTTATCAACTCTTCTTCAGATGTCAATTTACGTGGAACAGTTTTACTTATTTTCGGATCAGTATAGTCCTGAGGTTTATTTAATTGGCGTGCGAACATCAATGAGAAGGGGCTGCTACCAGTACGATTACGGATCTTATAGTTACAACATAATTGTGCAGCGGGAAGAAGTTCATCCCATCTACTGGTATCATTACACAACCAGTTGAAAATCTTAAATTTTACTGAAATTCTGTCCCAAAAAGTAAATCCGTGAGCAAACTTTAATTTTTTAAAAAAATAGAAGCTGCCGATTGGATGAAAAACCAAAATACGTTATTAAACACCAGATGCATCAAAAAAAAGACGCTAAAAAAATATTGAGGATGCACAAAACCTTTAAATGGGTGTCCTTGAGGGGTGAGGATAGAAGGTCGTGGATTTGACCGTTTTTATTGGATAACAAAATGAAGTGAACTTCATTTTTTAAAAAAATGACATGTAAAAATTTCGAAATTATTCTTAAGGTTAATCTTGAGAATCGTTTTTCAACATTTCGAAATGTCTGTCCGTATTATGGAACCACCAAAGAGTACCAAACTTACACTTGTTAATTATTGAGTATTGAATATCATTTATCACAGTTGAATGCGACATGTCCAATAGTTCAACAACAGCCAGCTTGAACACCAGCGTACTTAGAGTTTCGTCCGATTTGACCGCGAGAAGATTGCCACCATCGTCCACCTGGTAGTTTGTGAAGATGCTTGCGTTGTCAGAAAGCACTTGCACTGGTTTTTCAACAAGTGTGTAAACCTCCAGTTCGACGAGATCACCGCGTTTCAGCACAACCTTTCCAAGTAAACGACGCTTCCCACCTTCGCCAAGATCGAGATCAAAGACAGCCACCATGTTAAAAGCGACTCTCTTACCGGAGATGTATGCAGCACTACCATACTCACGGTTGGCGTTAAAGTACATTTTTTGACCAAAACGACTAAACCATTCCCTCACCTTGGAACCACAAGTCTTCGCATCATTGTCCCAGTAACAACCCATCGCGACATTCCTCAAAGACAGCTCACGACCATTGATCAGGGCCAAGTCACGAGAGGGGTTTTGCTTGTTCGTTTTCATGATTATTGCCCGAATGTACTTGTTAAACTGTTCATTCTTTTCAGTAGCCAAAAGCACAGGAGAAGCAAAACGAATACAATCCTCCACCAAGTGAATGATCAAGTGTGTTTTCAAACGATTGCACAGAGGACCACCTGTCTTGGCGTATGGAATGGAAGCACCATTAAGCTGTTCACCAGAACTAGCACCAGCACGAGAACGAACACCAGCACGCGCACCAGTAGCAGCAGCACCAGTAGCAGCAGCAGAAGTTACGTCTTCATCGTCAGAATCTTCACCTTCTTCAGGAGGCACAACATCACCAAACATCACCGATGGCTCATCTACATTTTCAGTTGTAGAAGCTTGATTGGCTCTACGACCGCGACGAGAACGCCTGTTACTTGGAATTGCCGTATGATCAAGGTTATCCAAAGCAACGATTGTATCATTGGCAGCCTTTCGAAGCATCTCAACAAATTTGTCAAAGTTGGTATGAATTTCCGACATATATGATAGAGAACAAAGCTCACCAAGCTTATCGAAAGTATCGATGATGTTATTCAGCCTGTGGTGGGGATCGTTACGAAAAGTCAAGAATGCCCGGTCATCCTTAGCAAGTCTCAGTACAATTGGAATCATCTGGACCATAAGCTTGAAATCTCTTCCAAGGTAGCTTTTGTAGCCCTTCAGATGAGTGGACAAGTTAGTGAAAGCCTTTGAACCGTAAGTACGACATAGAGAACTGATAACATCGACTTGGGTTTTGTTAAAAAAACAATCGGCAGCCTTGTTGAAGGTGTACTTGATCAGGCCCAGACATAATCCATGCAATATTTCAACTGGCGTATCTTTACTTGGATCCCAAGAGGACAGACCCAACAAGCCCTTACCATTAGAATCTTTGAAACCAAGAGTCATCAGATCATCAACAAAAATAAAGTTACCCTGTCTATCACGAACCCGGATCGAAAAATCAGGAATAGGTAAGTTGCTTGTAATAAATAAACTTTCCCAATGCCCTTTTTCCCTTGGAGCTGACACATATTCTTCAGGAGTGGTCCGTATATTTTGATCGTAATTATTGGCATGGCGGCACCAGAAGCACTTTCTACAAGGATATGTAGCCGTTGAATGTTTTAAGCAAGTTATCTCGGCATGACGAGGATTGTCAGCCTTGATGAACAAAAGAGGAGCGACAACAAATACGTCTTCTTTAAGGACAGCATCAAACATCGGCATACCAGTTTCCAGCTGTTTTAGATTACCAACAAGGGAAGGCAACTGCTCCATGGCACTGAGTTTGTTAGACCCACATAAAAGCAATTGGTTCAAGTAATGATTGGCAATACTTAGGTGGACAGCAGCAGGATTCATTGACCAAGTATCGAAGCAATTCCATTTTGAGGTAGAATTACCACTAGTGTCATCAGAAAACAAGTTATAAGGAACAACTCTAACAACCTGAAAGTTCTTGGGAATAGACGAGTTAAGGACGTTGTTGACAAAGTTGGAGTTAACAGGCAATGGGTGCTTGTGGTCGTTGGCAGCTTTAATCATGTTATAATGATCACGAATCAAATTAGTGTCATCAATAGTATAGCTCGGGTTACAGATGATTAAACGTTCAGGAGTCGAATTTTGCATGACACTGGTATAGGCCTGGTAATCTTCCACTTCTAAACGGCAAACATCATCAAGATTGAGCTGGGATACATCGCATGAGACAACCTTTTCGGAGAGATAGTACATGGAATCATTCATCTTGGTTATTACAGGGAAAAGAAACGCCTTGACAATGTTGGATTCTTGGAAGAACTTGAATACCTTGAAGTAGGGACGCTGTTGAACAGGAACATTGATATCAGACAGACGAGAGATTCTATCCGACACCCACAATTGCCGAGGGTTGTTATCATTACCAGCAATTATCATGGGAGGCTGAAACAATTTATCCTCAATCCAATTTTTACCTTGACTAAGCTTTATACGTTGGTTACTCGTATAATCAGGAAGATCAGATAAATAGGGGGACATGATTGGATTGGCAATGAGAAGTCGCAGGTGTTCAGAAACATGGTTGATAATCAGATCAGGCTTGTACGGCTTACCAGCAGCGTCACGACTAGAATGATCAATAGGTGTGGTATAAGGAATACCTTCACGGCTTTTCACATAATATTCAGCATGGGGAAGAATTGGAACAGTGCTTTTGGTAGATTTGTAAAACCTAGAAATACCATGGGGAGTAGGGTAGCCTTTGAAATCATAGTCAGTGTCAGTGGGATCCAGAGCAAGTTGATCTTTGTATTGCCGAATTGCTATTTCAATCAAGTATCTGCCGAATTCAAGGGTGGCTTTAATTTCTTCCTCTGAATACTTCATACTTGAAGACTTGAAAAAGAGAAGAGCATGCATGTAATATTCATTTTTGAAAGGAAAGTAAGGGTTGCCATTAACATCATCAGGTACTTGAGGTTCATCATCATTGGTATTGGGGTTGATAGATTCACTAACACCAGGACCACCATCCAACTGTACTTCATCATTTAAAATGTTTTCAAAGGGGTCAAAGTCACGTCCGATTTCACTGTCATCCTCCTCAAAACCATGGGAGCTTCCGAAAGCTTCTTCAGGGGTTATGTCTGGTTCAGGCTCAGGTTCAACATCAATGTCTGTCATCATTGGACTAATAGTTTTAAAGGTAAGCATATACATTGGTTAAGTTTTCAATAAAAAAATTACCTTCCAGAAGGTGAATCAATATTCATGGAGGTATCTGCCTCATCTTGAACCTCAGGAGATGGATCAGTATTCATTGCTTCATTTTGAACCTCATTAGGGTTGTTTGCATTTCTAATGTTTGTGAGTAAATTTTCCAATAACTCTCTGATATATTACTTACGAGAGGATTGCATTCGCTACGTTTAACCGGTGTGATTCAGAGCTGAGATGTCTTGTATAATTGCTGCGTCTATCAGTACCGGTATTGACAAACATCACAGCTCAAGGCTCGATCTCGAATTTCGGCATTTAGTTCCACAAGGTTATGAAATCTGTTTGTATGGTTTGACATAATTGTATAAAAAAAAGTTATAGTGGTAGAGAAATATGTTATTGATGCCTTTATATACAAGTTTGGCCATTGAATATGACAGCTGTTTGCATTTGGCGCTAATAAATGATGACAGCTGTTACAGCTTTGGAGCTTAGCCCGAATGACACATGCATGTAATTTGATTGGTGTACAGCCGACTCTGGCGGCAATTTGTCACGCAACTCTCGCATATTTTTTCACGCTATCTTTCTTTTCCTTTTCCTCTCTTTTTTTTTTATTTTGTCTTTGACCATGACGTTTTGTTTGATTCTAAAGCGTGATTTATTGTAGTTTTCGTTGGAAGGGTTGGTATCTGATAGGAAATAGAAATACAAAATCATATTGATGACCTTGTCTTTTTATTTTAGTTACAATCATTGATGTACTCGCGTGTTTTGAGACTAAAAGGTAATCATGATATATTGACAAGAACTCAGTTTACTCACAGATGTTTACTTTAGACTTCCATTAGAGATATCAAACAGATACGAGGGTACGTTTTCATTCTTGTTTGTAATAATTATTCCATGCTAACACGCGTTTTATTTTATTTTTAGTCCCTTTTTTCATGTTTTGAAAATGTAAGTTCCATCAACCTCTTCTTATTTGCAGATTATTAACATGATTTTCGTATTTTTAATAGATATAATCTCTTTTAACTTTAGTAAGGTACGAATTGTCGCTGCTTTCTTTAAATTGTTTTACTTACCATCATCTTCATTATTTAGTTATAAAATGTATAAAACTGTTTAAGACCGTTTAAAAAGGTAAGCCCATCATTCAGCTAAAATATTAGGCAAAAAACTGACATGTCTTTTGTATAGTTTGCGCTTGATTATCAAATGCCTTTAAACGCAAATCTGTTTTGTCTTTACCGGCGTTCGCCGCAATACGTTCATCAAATTTTGCCAGCACAAGCTTTTAAGCCCTCGTCATCATTTTAATAAACTATTTCTTTTTTGGCATTTTTATGCTCTCAACAATATTCTATTTTTACATTTTTAAAATTTTGGAGCAGTGTTTATTTGTTTATTCGTGTGATTGTTGTGGGTCGCACAAAAATTGCTAAAACGAAAAAGGAATATTTCTGCTCGCTCCGTTTTTGGAAGATTTGAGAAAAAAAAAGTCGAGATTTTCAACTGGTTGTGTACCACACAACTTTCTTACTGTGTTGACGATTATTTTAACTGCATTTTCAGCTGCACCATTGCCACGAGGATGATAGGGAGTAGAAAATCGATGGTCAATGCCAAGCGTTCTCGTTACTGTTGTCATCAAACCATTGAGGTAATCGCGTGCATTATCAGATTGACAGCGGACCGGTAGACCATAATCACCAAATACTTAGCATAGAGTTGAGGCTATCGTATCACTTTGTTTATTGGGAATAGGACGTGCTATGATGTATTTAGTGCAAAGATCCACGATCACAAATATATATATATTTTGGTTTTGTGTTACAGAAAATGGTCCGGCGAGATCCATTGCTATGTGTGTAAATGGATCACTACTAACAATTGGTCTTAATGGATGATATCCTTTCTTGGCTATATTGTGTCGGGCACAATCTATGCAACTACGAACTATCTCCTTACTTTCATCATATATACCATGCCAATGCATGCCGTCTTCATGTATCCTTTGGACGATACTTTCTGATCCAAAGTGACCCATCAAATGAGCTTCTCTTAAAAGCTTGTCTCTTTCCTCATTTGGGGGAGCTATATAATCAGTAGTGGATTCTTTGAAGGTGTTACTATTTAGTCTAACAGCAAGTATGTTCAAATCCTTATCTGTGCTATATACTTTTCTTTTATGAATAAACCTTTCACTCATATTATTGACTACTTTGTTAATTTTATCATTTGGTAAACGTCTTTGTAATATACAACGTTCTAATTTCATAATTTTCTTTTCTTCATCCCCCAGCAGAGTTTTATCCTCGGGTATAGGGGGATAAACTCGACTTAAGGTATCAGGTAATATATTATTTATTCCCTTTAAATGAACCACAGTGAAATTAAAATCGTTCAGTACCTCCATATAATTTTGAAGTGTTCTGCAAAGCGTTGTAGAGGTTTGCATATAAACCAAACTACGATGATCAGTACGTACTTCTATTTCAGGATGACCCCATAAGAGGGCTCGGAATTTTTCGAAGCCATAGACCACACCATATGTTTCTTTTCGATTCGTAGACCACTGTAACTGGTGCTTATCAAATGCTTTGCTAACAAATGCAATGTGTAATGTCCGTCCATGTTCGTCTCGTTGAGTAAGAGCAGCAGCAGTTGCATATAGACTACTATCCGTCTCTAAATAAAACTTTCGATCCATTCTGGGTGTGTGTAATACCGCATCGGACAAAATGATATCTTTTAACGTCTGAAATCTTTCAGTATGTAACGGGGTCCACTTGAATTCAGAATCCTTACAGTGGCGTAATGCGTTTATAGGAGCAGCAACTTTTGATATCATGGGAATAAATTCATGTAAGTATGTAATGAAACCCATAAGCTTTCTTACATCTGCACTGTTTTTAGGTGTTTTCCATGCATCAAGGTTACTTAAACGTCTGGTGTCGATCTTTCTAATTCCTGCTCCAACGGTAAAACCAAGGATGTAGATTGAAGTCTTAAACCAAGTACACTTTTCGAAATTGATTTTTAAATTAACTGACGTTAACCTGCCTATCGCCTTTTTAACTAAAGCTGCATGATCTTCTGGATCAGAATAGATGCAACAGTCATCGACATAGGTTTGCACACCTTCCATTCCTTGAAATAGAAGATTGATTACCCGACAATAGAGACTCGTAACAAATTTCAGCCCAAAACAACATCCAACCCATTTATAGGTTTTGTTATTGACAGTGAAAGATAAGACTTCTTGGCTTGCATCAGCAACCTTAAAAGAATGATATGCATTTTTAAGATCCAATTTTGTGAAGACTTTTCCTTTAGCAGTGACTTCATCAAAAATGTCTTTTATATTAGGTACAGCAAAATCTTGAATGTTTTGCTCGTCAATGTTTAAGTTACATCTACGAAGATCCATCACAATCCGATGTTTTGTGAAATTGTTATTGGCATCACGTTTAGGGATAGCAAGTAAAGGTGTGTTGTGTTTGGCACTAGGCTCACATTCAACTACAACACCGGTATCGAGCCATTCTTGTAATTGCTTTTCAATTTCGGGACGTGCATGATAAGGTAACGGGTATTGTCTCACATAACAATTCGAAGCATCTTTCTTAATTGGGATGTGAACAATAGACTCTTTCATTGTACAGAAGGATCCAGCCTTGATCAGCTTATTTTGCTCAATAGAATCTTTAATATGATGCATAAATTTATCTTGATCAGCCTGTGTTCCATAAGTTGCATTTTCAGGATCATAGTTATTTTTGGTATCGAAGTTCATGTTTTCAAACTGAGCTTCTTCCTTATTTGTATCTTTCGGATAACAATGTGCTACTCCCGTTAAACCGATTCTCATTCGAGGTAACACATCTGTTCCGAGCAAAATATCAAATTCTGTTTCCATTACACTGTTAAATTCTACAACTTCAAATTCATGTTCAAAAGATATGTTATTAGAATATTTGATAGTCATAGGTTCAGTCATGCCAATTCTTTGTGCTTTAATATCCTTATTATTTTTATCACGAGAGAGAAAATTTAATGAACCTTTAACTTTATTTATTTATATTGTATTATCAAAAGTGCTATCAAGGATGTACTTGTTAATACAAGTCATGGAACTCCCAGTGTCAATCTTTGCAATCAATTTTCTATTATTCAGGATAATAGGAGTAATTAGTTTAAATGGATTATTTCTCTCTTCATTAATGGGATACTTACAACGTAATGAGTCCTCCTCCATAGCTTCCTCCACTCGTCTGGCATCAGGCTCGCGAGATTCGGCTACTGCCAAAACCTGACGGTTACCATCCCGATTGCGACGTTGGTCCAAGAACTCCTGGCATCGATGACCATGAGTCCAAGCTCTGTTACAATACGAGCAAGGACGAGGAGCTGAGCTCGAAGGCGCAAATAGTTGTTGTTGTTGTTGTTGTTGTTGTTGTTGTTGTGTGTCACACGATGATTACCAGTGGCTCGGTTGGGAATGTTTCTCGCTCCAAGGAACGTACTTCTCACACCTCCACTTCTCTTGCTTCTACAATCGACCTCATTGTGGTTGCTCTTCGCACCACCGTGTCTTGGACAGAAAAAATCACCATCCACCTCCGAGGCCTTACGCTTGCCTTTACCCGAATCACCAGTGGTAGATTGACCTCCACGTCCAGAAAAGTGAGCACCAATACGCCCTTCACCAAAAATCGTACTTGCAATAGATGAGATATCCTCGATGGTCCACGAGTCCGTGTCTCGATCTCTTGATTCCATCACCGTCAAGATCTGCGATTGGCAGGGTTCATACAAGCTGGTACGATACTTTTCCACCATTCCAGGGTCAGTTTGCTTACGACCTGCCTCAAAGATGTCACGAAGAAACCTGTTGGTGTAATCCTCAATGGTGTCACTGCTGTTCATGAACGAGTTGTATACCCGTCTGATAGCCTCCTCACGAGAACGCTTATTACCAAACTTCTTTTCAAACGTGGCCTTGGCTTCGGTCCAGTCCTTGCAGATTAGGAGATCAGTATCCACCCAAAGATCATAGTCATAAGACAATGCCAAAGGCAAGTAAATTCTCCAGACTAATTCAATGTCACCGGTGGCAGTCTTCATCACCTTTTCAAAGATCTTGAGAAACTCCTTCGTAGTATCATATTTCTTTTCTCCAGGGAAAGGGGTAGTACTAGTGGAGGTTAGTTGAAACTTTGGGATATCCGAAGTGTTCAATCGAAGAGGTCTACTGTCATTCGCCCATTTAGACTGGTCAGTGCCTTTCATCTTGAAGTCAGCCTTATTCTCCATGGCAGCTTCAATGATGCTGATACGACTGTTCAAAACGTCTACCTTGGCCAAGCATTGGTCACATTCAGAGTCCTCCGAACTGGTAATTCCATTGTCCACGGCCTCGAACAAAACGTCAGCTCTTGCGAGCAAGCGCGTTCTTTGGTCCTTCAACTTCTCAAGAAGAGTGACATTAGGAGATCCATTATTTACGGCAGGAGTAGGAGACCTGTCAGTGTGACGAGCAACACTGATTACTTCAGGTTCAGCAATAGGGTTCACCTGACTTTCGACGTCAGTCATCTCGATATCCTCTTCACCAAGGATAAGAGCAGCGTTGGATTCCAAGGAACCAGAGACATTAGAGGCAGAACCTTCTTGAGGGGCTTGGGAGCCAGTAGGAGTAGATCCACGAGAAACAACAGAGTTGTTTTGGGGAGAGGAGATAGATTCAGATTGGTTTGACATATTGACGAAGAGGGTAATTGAAAAAAATGTAGCAAAAGTAGGCTTATAGAGGATAGTTTTGCAGAAAAAAAGGTAGAAAAAAACAATAGGATCAATTAGAATTCTTGTCAGAGTTTATTGATGTTAAAGTTAACTAAAGATTTAAGAAGAGGAAAAATAAAGAGTATTTATAATAAATGGAATGGACGAGGCTGAGGATACTACTCTTAACAATATGAGTATGCTATCAATAACAATATCTATATTGGACAATTAGTGCTACGCATAGTCAATAGAGAAATACTAACAATAACATGTCTTAAGTTTGGACATTGGTGTTCCGATACCGTGACACTTTAAAATAGTGACCGGCTTTAGCGAATTCCTTTTTTATGCCTGATCATGATTTAGCTATCATTTATCAGTGATGATGAGATATGAATTTATTATATGTACAATCTATATGTGTGATTTAGCACAGTGTTCAACAAGACTAGAAATGAAGCAATCGGTTGATTCCGGATTCAGTTTCAGAAGATCTGCTTGGCTTTTTAAAATATGAGTTCTATCTTCAGGTCGAGATGTCGGAACAAATACAGTGACATTCCTTGATCCGACCATTCGAATTCCAATGATATTGTAGGCTGCTTCTTGAGCAGATATTTCACTAGCATTATAGTACGTAGTTACCAATGTTTTCAGCAAATCGAAAGCTTTTGATTTTGGATCATCCTTATGCTTTGCGTATACCCCCTCCATTGCTTTACTCATTCCCTTGTCGGTTTTGTTAATATAATCAAGCACGTAGGCACAACATGCATATGGATCAAGGATGAATTGTATGTCCATGTTAGACTTGAATAAGCTTAATATTTTTCTGCTATAATTATTGATCATCACTTCATTAGGCTCTCTCTTAATGTAAATCTTGTTTATCTTGAGTACTGATCTCAAAACAAGAAAATATTCGGCAGGACAAGGAACATCGACAAGATTTAAAAAACTTTGGAATGAAATCTCAGAATTTGACAGCATGATAGAATTCTCGTCAAGATAATCCTTAATACTCTTATGTACTTTCTTGTACTCAGAAATATCCTCTTGTGTATAATCAGAATGATCCAAAGGTATCATAATTTTTGTGTACGGCATTGGCATAAACGGTATGTTAAAACGGCAAACAATCTCATTTCCTCCTCCCTTCCGTCGTTAAGTACTGGTATGCTTGTGGGTCTGTCGTGTTTTCAACATGTTTCTCCATGTCTCTATGTTAGACTTAGCCTCATTGTCGTGATGTGGGCTACCATCCCATTTTTTACTACAAGTAATTATTTTGTCGACAAAATCAGAAATCGATTTTTTCATATCTCGTACTTCATCGATCGTTTCGCAAGCTTTGTCTTCATAGATAGGTGCGTCTTTTAACCAGAGCAGCATATGGACATGAGGTGAGCCTTCAAAATTATAAAAATAATGAATACAAATTATAAATTTTGTAATTCGTATAAACTTTTACCTCTATGCTGAAATACAATTCTGAAGTAATACTCATTTATAACATAGCCACAAAAAGGAGCATCTTCAGCTGCCCAAGTTTTTTTTCAATTCTCTAAACTTGTGATCAAAGTATCTAGCTGTTGTTATGGGATTACTTTGAATCAATCTTGCTTTTTCATCGTAACTCAAAGTTTCAGCTTCTTCTTCGGTCATCACATCATCATCCACAACCTTCTTCAATATACACAATAACTCGATCCATTTTGTCTCTGCGGCAGAAACAGTAACAAACAAGGATGGAATACCATATTGTTTAATCATAGCCATCCAATTTTTTTTCTGGTTTTTCCAATACTCAGATGAAGATCTTATACCAGCAAATGTTTTGAAGGCTTGGTCCTTGCTTAATAAATTAGTGACATAATTGTCATTTGAAACATCTTTGGCAGTAAATGGTTGATTTTCACTCGAAGTAGTTTTTCTTTTCCTAAGAATAGTGTTGACGTTAAAGCACAGTTTTAATAACTGATATTTTCTAACATGTAAAGGAGATAGTCAAAGCGTTCCACAGCCCTTCTATCGAATCTCCGTGCCATTGAATTTGTCATCGAGTTGTATGATACTGTGTCAATGAATTCTAATCTTTTTCCATAAAATATCTTAATAAAAGACAGGAAATCGCTATCTTTATCCTTCAACAAAGATAATGGCGTTCTACCTTCTCCAGGAGCAAGTCTGATTGACATGTTACTGTCATTGTTGTCAACAATTAATGTATCTGTAGCGTCAATATTTAAGGGCTCATTACAATCTTCCTCCACCAACTCGTCATCGAAGATTTCATCATATGTAATATCCTCATCGTCCATTTCTCCTTCCTCATCCATTTGTCCTTCCTCATCCACTTCTTCAAGGTCTGCTACATTATCTCTATTTTCTTGCTCCTGATTGAGATTTTGTTCATCCCACGCATTCCTATTAGCCAACATAACATCATATTCTTGATAAAGGGTAGTGGTGGCTAAGTACTCGGCTGCAATCCAAACCTTTTGATGGGCTTACATTCCCTTTGATATAATCTTTCTCAAAACACAGTTTTCTTGCTAAACGAACATGTATGGTTTCGGTGTTGTTGTAGTTTCTAGGCAGACGACTGACCGTTGTATCCACATTTACCGGGACATTGACAATACCACCTTTACTCTTATATTACCCACTAATACCTTTGTGTGTCCATAGTTGTTGAAATGTATGTCTTGGTGCAACAAGCCTTTCCTCCAACCTTGTTAAATCTGATATGCATGAAACCTTTTCTGGAAAATGTAGACCAATTTTTAAAGCAATCTTCGGTACTTTGTTCAGTTTGATTGATGCCTTGCAATTAGCACAGAAATAATGCTTATCACTACCGGCTTTCTTAACCGTTAAATTATTATAATTGTCAAAAATATTGCTGTCAATCGTCCAAAAAGCCGCCTCAGCAACATCTGCTTCACACTTCCATTTCAGCAGTATATCCTCTTTACCAAATAGAGAAACATTTTATGTAAAAAACAATCCACCACAGCAAATGCATAAAACAGTAGGTCCCTCCCTGATGCTTGTTTCGTATGCTCTTCTGGTTTTTTCCCAAGACGAAATCTAGTCGTTAATTAAACGCGTGAGCATTAAAATTAACATAATTATAATGAATATTTACCTCTTCAGGCGAAGTATTGTTACGGTTCTGACGATATGATCGTTAATATTCCCGTTGGTATGCTCTCGACTCTTCGGATTGTTGATATGCCCTTCTCTTGTCCTGTCGGCTGATTGGATCCATCCTTATAACATTTGTATCATCTGTGGGTGTAGTTCTGCTACCTTCGTCTTCGTCATTAGAACTGTGCTCTTCCTGTTCCTCTGAAATGCGCGTTGCATATCGTCGTTTCTTCGCATTCCTTTCAGCAATGACGTCAAAAACATCTCTTGGTCCTAATAACTTAATCCTTATAAAATTTTTGGGTGGTTGGTATGAAGTGACATTTTTTTCAGAACTAGATGGGCCATTAACGCCGTGATCTGTTGTTTCTGAACCTTCCCCGGTATTTGTCTCTGATGATGACTCTCCCATTATGTTTGGGTTTGTCTGAATTTTCAATCGCAAGTAAATCTTTTGACCAGGGTTGCTTAGTCCCATCTGATTTTCCAAAACAGCCACATGAGCTTCCCTGTCTCTCTTTTTTCCCTTATTCTTTTTCTTTTTATGTTCTCTAGGCATTTTCAAGACTTGATTTCTTAATTGAAGTTACAGATGTACGTTTTTATTCAAAAGAAGTTTTTGATATATATACATGTCCCAAAATGGTAATTTTTGGCTTTTTTTCTGTCCCAATTCTAAAGGTTTTTACACTACGTATTACATACTCCGTCTAATACGCCAAAAATGATCTCAAAGTGTCCCTACGATATCAGTATGTGATGTCTTTACAAAATACAAAAAACTCAAACGTTAGGAGAATTTGGAGGGCGCTGTATGTACGTTTTTGAAATCTATCGCAGCTTTAAAGATGTCCGGATACAATATGCGACTTACCTTATATGTGAAATTAACTGAGATAATCTCCATACCAGCTTAGAATGCTTAAACCATTCTTGAACCGTTTGATAAATCGATGATAATTTAGGAAAATGACAAGTAAGATTAACCAGATTGCAAAAATTAACTGAACTTTTATTAACATAAAATTTAGGGGTCTTCTATATACATATTGAATTCGACCTCCTTCTTAGACAGGGCTAGATGACAGGCAAGATTATGACTGACATGCCATATCTTGAAAGTAAGTAATCCAGTAAGAATCATATACTAGAAAAAAGGGTGGTACACGTTTCTGTAATAGGTCTGTAGTGTCACTTGACGCGTACATTTAAAAGTCATCAAAGTACAATCAAAAATTTATCGTCTTTGTACTTTTTAAACCTCGCTTGTCATTGGCCTCCGCTAATCTGATTAGTACAATATATTAATAATGTCTTTTTAGAATAATTGTATAATAAATGTATACTTTTGTACTTGTATTTAGCTTGATGAATATCGTGCTAGTTTGTTAAGTCAATTGTGAATATTTAATATGCAACATTAAAAGAAGTATTTATAAAATTATCGTATTGGATAAAAATATGCTGTGTAGATCAAGCATACATGAATATATAAAGCTGGATCACAACACCGTTTCTAATTTCTTATAATCTATTTCGGTTGTTAGTTATTTGTAATCAGGGAACCCCTAAGTGTCGGATCTGTAATGAGAACGGACCAGAATTCCCTGAAGTATCGCATAACAACGGATAACGGAACGGGGTGCCTTGAAATCAACGGATTTTGAGGGATAACGGACCAGAGTACGCAAACCTATGGGATTTTGACGGATAACGGACCAGAATTCTCAGTTTTTTTTTATTTAGACGGATAACAAACTGGACTTACCAAAATATAACCCCAATAAACAAGCGAAACTTAACAGAATATACTATACAACAAGGAACGAGATACAATTGTATTTTCAAGGCGTAGTCTACAATTGTAGACAAATAAATGTAGGGTGGACTTCGGAAACTCTGGCCCGTTATTTGTCCGCATCCGGTACTTTAGAGTAAGCTAATTAGAGTTACCGAATGATCACAATCAAGTACGTGAATCTGGTATGAGACGGACTCCGGGATTATGGCGAGGAGTAGCAACAATTGCTTGCAACACTCGAATAAAGTAAATCAACAATGAGGATATCCATAATTTTATTAACCAAAGAATGTGTAAATATAAAAGATAAAATAAAAAAAAGCTACTGGAGTCTTAAATCGAACTACAAGTCTGCAAAACTATCTTCCCATTGATGTCACCCGCAACATCTATCTCCGGAAGTATTTCGTTTAAAACAACAGGTTTTTGTTGGATATTTCGATAAATCCAGCTAACCGCAGGGAGACTTAACCCACGCCTGAGAACCGCCAACAGATGCTTCATCAAAATCTCCAATTGTTTTTCAAAACTTCGGTGGTATCTGGAGTATGCTTTGGCCGTCATTACTTATACAGCCAAAAACCTGCCATTCCCAACAACTGAAAGACACAAAACACACGCTCACCACGCGTTCTACGATCCGTAAAACCTACTGGATCAGCATCATTAAGAACCATGATCGCCATGGACTCCCATTCATCGAATCCCTTGAATACATGGTATTCCGTAAACAGCAAGTAGTGATACAGACAGGTAATGTTTTTAAAAGAATACCCCAATT